AGGTTTATAAATGCGCCCCCCCCCCCAATGTTTTCTTAGTCTTATAATGGAGCCCAGGGCCTTGGCTTGTTAGGGGACTGCTCTACGGCTAATGTGCTTATTGGGGCTTTTAACCTGTGCTTTTGAGATCGGTACAGGAACACACACACGGTGCAGTGACAGCCAGCCGTCTAGGTACAGGAACACACACACGATGCAGTGGCAGCTAGCTGCCTATGCTCTCCTGACATCTCTGTCCTCATGGCCGCCCCTTGCACACGTGGTTTTATTATCCCTGTGGGGAAATGACAAACTTGTGAAATAACTCACTGAGGACAGCAGGGCTGGGACTCAGTTCCTAGTATTGGGTGCCCCTGTTTCTGCCACTGGCCGTTTAGCCCTGTTCATTTTGTGGTAGGACACAGGGAGAGGATTCAGGTTCACCAAGGGGACCGTGGGCCTGGCTGGTTAAGATGCATATAGACTCCCTTAAGGCAGGCAGTGCTGGCACATGCCTTTAACCCCATTACTCAGGAGGCAGAGGCAGGTGGAACTCTGTGAATTCAAGGTCAGCCTGGTCTGTAGAGCAAGTTCCAGGACAGCCTCCAGGAGTCTTCTGAAAAACAAGAGCAAAAAAAGATGTATATAGACTCGTTTGTGGTTAAAGGTGTGAAATTTTTTTCTTATTTTTTGTTACTAGCATAATTTAAAATGTTTCTATTTGAATATGTACTATTTCTCATTGACTTAGTATTTTTTCTTTTAGTATCTACTGCATAGCTAGCGTGGTTACGGGGAGTGGGGTATAGGCATGCGTAGCGACGAAGGTCCCTTCCTTGGTGGAATTTAACATTCCATTGGGGAGGACAAGATAAAACATAAAAGTTGCTGTGAAGAAAATAAATCCAGGTTAAGAGACAAACGGGTAGGGCTGGAGAGATGGCTCAGCAGTTAGGAGCACCAACTGCTCTTTCACAGGACCCGGGTTCAATTCCCAGCAACCCCACATGGCAGCTCACAACTGTTTGTAACTCCAAGATCTGACACCCTCACACACCTGCAGGCCAAACACCAATGCACAGAAAAACAAATAAACAGGCAAACAGACAAACACATAAGTAGGGAGTTGGACAGTGATGGGAGTGGGGGTGCTCCTTTAGACAGTGGCAGGAGGATGTGTCTGAGAAGTGGCATTTGTAGGTTAGTAAGGGAAGGAAATGGATGTTTGAGGGAAGGTCTCAGAATCGTGTTCCAGACAGAGGGAACAGTTGCACAGATTCAGGAGGTGGAAGCAACCGCAGAGGCGGATGCTAAGCCTGGGAGACCATGAGTTGTCAGGGTGGAGTGTGCGTAGATGCCTGGACTACAGAAATGTGCCTTCACTGTCCTTTCCGGTGGAGCAGGGGAGGAAGTAGAAGTCTGCCTTGTGTTTAGCTGCTCTTTGAGATGATCTCTGACCCAAGAATGGTCCTACAGGAATCTTAAACAGGTCATTGCATTGTTAATAATAAATGATCCGATTTATTTATTTATTTTTTTAAAAAAGCCATTAGGGTTAAGACACTCCTTGTGGTCTCTTGCGTTTTCTTAGTCATTTGAGGGAGGCAGAAAACATGGTCCGGTGTACCCTCTACCGGCAGAATGTAGCATTTCCTCTTTTGGTGATCTGGAGATTGGCATCAGTTAGGATGCAGTGCCGAAGTGGGATAGCACTTCTCTTGGATCTGAAATACAGAGAATAGACGAGAAACGGCAGTGAGCATTTCCCTTAGCGTGCTACATATTCTTCTTTATATAGTCTTTAATTTTTTCCCCTCGGTTAGCATACAAAGAAACAGATTTCACTGTGACATTTCCACACATATATATTGTTACGCTTTTTTCTTATTCACCGTCACTATCCTCCGCCATCTTTCTTCTTCCCCTTACAATTATCTCCTCCTTCCCTCCCAATAGTTCCCTTTCCCGATTTTAAATAGCGTTTTTGCTATGGTTTTTTTTTTTAATTTTTTGTGTGTGCGAGCACACTTGTGCCATGGTGCACACATGGAGGGCAGCTATCAGGAGCTGATTCTCTCCACTGTGCTGAGGTAGAGTTTCTCGACATTTCTGCAGGGCTCTGTGTTCCAGGCAACTCTCCTGTCTCTGCCTCCCATGCACACCACTTCACCTGCTTTTTTATTGTTTTTAAATGTGGGTTCAAGGACCTCATCAGGCTTTTATAGAAGTGCTTGCACCCACGGAGCTGCCCTGCTGCCCCCTCCTTTCTTGACATATGTTATGGAGGTTTTTAAATTTTATTTATATGTTCTGCCACAAGCAAGCACATTTTTTTTTTACCTATTTGAAATATTCTATGGGTAAGCAAGTTAAATAAAAATGAACATTTCATGGAACTGTAAGAAATGCAGTTACCTTGTAAACTTGGGTGTGGGTGTGTGTGTGTGTGTGTGTGCGCGCGTGCATGTGTGTCCAGGCCAGTGCTTGATGCCAAGTGGCTTCCTCAGTTGCTTTCTGCCTTGGTGTTTGACACAGAGATTCTCTTTCACTGGACTGGGCTTACTGATTCTGCCTGACTAGCCATGGGGCTCCAGGGATCACCTGTCTGTGCCCCCTCCTCCCCCAGATCTTGTGTTACATGCGTGCACTGCTGACTCAGCTCTCCACAGGCAGTAGGAAGCTGAACTCAGGTAGGTCTCTGTGCTTGTGTGACAGGTACCTTTAAGCCATGTCCTCAGCCCCTGCTATAACCTTTTGTGTTTATAAAAGGGTATTGATTACTGGACAGAGTGGCACCATCCGTGATCCCAGCTCTCAAGAGGCTGAGGCAAAAGAATCAAAAGTTCAGGACCAGCCTAGGCAACGTATTGAGACTCTGTCTCTAAAAAGAGAGGGGATGAGGTTCAGGTGGACAAGAAACAAAAAGGAGTTTGTTTTTATACTTATTCTGAATAATCGAAGAATAAAATGTCAGTTAAATAGATATTTTTGAGTAGGAAGATATTAGCTAAAGGATTCTTGTATCTGCTAGAATGTAAATCGTGACCGTTGTTTTCACGCCGAGGTTCACAGCAAACTAGTGCTCGTAACAGTTTGTGGTGGCTCACGTTTCCTCATCCCTGGTTCACGTTTTCTACATGAGACTTTGTTGGATAATAAAGTTTCTAGACATGTCAGAACAACTATAAGAAAGTAACTTGATTGTTCTGGATCAATTTTTGTTTGCTTTTTTGTGTGTATTATTGAGTTTTGAAACACATTAGTTAAGGATTCAAATTATTTGCCTCTCAAAATAAAGAGAAGTGAACCAGGGGTCCTTTTCTTGCCCGGTTATTTTATTTCTGCTCATCACGAGGGCAGTTTCTTAATATCTATCTATCTATCTTTCTTTCTTTCTTTCTTTCTTTCTTTCTTTCTTTCTTTCTTTCTTTCTTTCTTTCTCTTTCCTTTTTCTTAATTTTTTGAAGACAGGTTTTGTCTAACAGTTTCCTTCCTTCCTTCCTTCCTTCCTTCCTTCCTTCCTTCCTTCCTTC